CTGTGTCCCTGTGAAAATTCCCAGATATTTCCAATTAATGTACCCTCATACCAAACCAGTTCTTCAGGGTATTGTGTTGATGGTGTCCACAAAGCTCAGCCAGCTGTGGTTAGCATCGGAAAGGGCAAAATATAAGCACCAAAACATAAGCGGCAACACTTCCTAACCCACAAAGGAAACAAAGATGACAAATAAGCAGTTTAGTGCTCTGCTGCCACTGTGCCCTATATTCAGAGTCCTCGTTTACAGTTTGAGCCTAAAACAAAACAGAGGCCTCATAGCTATGCCAGCGGATAACAAACCTAAATTATAATTGTTCTTATCAGCATCTTATCAGTTCTTATCATGTAGGTTTCAGTTTCATATATGTATAACATCATAGTCTTAGTTTATAATGCATTCATCTCTGTCACGTAGTCATAAGAACAGTGTATATTTTGGTTGAACTTCAAGGATGCAGCCTTATATATTAGCTGATAAAACAGAATTGAAATTGAGGAAGAACAAAGTGGCCAATAGTTTCGGGCTCCTAAGCCTAAAAAAAGTACCTACTCTGATGCTCAGGGAAAAAAAAGCACAAGATTTAGTAATTTCAGATTCCTCTCTGAAAAGAGAACAAAAACCTAAATGTGCGGTGGAGATTGGTGCGACTTGTGCAGCCAAGCCTTATGACTCAAAGCACTAAAGCTTCTCTTAACATCATCTCATGGGTTGTGGTGAGGAACTGTGTGTCAATGCTGCAAAGCAACCACACTGCCTCTCCACCTACAGGTACTGTGTAGTTTACAGCAGTCTCAGATTCACTGCATTGCCTGACAGATGAAGGGGGAGTTTGCAGCCTCAAAGAGCTTGCTGCCTGTGTGAAGCCCCTAAACCTCAAAACGGATTATTATGCGGGGACATTTATAGCAGCACCAGGTCGGTCATGTAGATTATTTTATATATATATAGATTTATTTAGAAGCTCCATAGGAACTGAGTGCAGAACAATTAAGTTGCAGTCACCCAAAAAGAGTTTAACACGCCACATTGTTATTTTTTATTTTTATATGAACAAAAAAGGTTTATACTCTTTTAAGAAATTCATCCCCCAAAAAGCCATTTATGTTTTCTTAAAGTACGTGTCCTTAAAGTAACCTTACAAGTTATATGGGGAAACCCAGCAAGAAAAGAGTAAACTTCAGAGCAGTGAAAGAAACAAAGACAAAGACGTTCAGTGCATACAATTTAACTAACGTGCTACTACCTGGCTAGCAGAGGCTCTTTCGAGGTTAGGTCATCTTCAACAAACGGAAAGCGAAAAAGAAAAAGTTTATCGCAGTTGCAGCCGCCAGTTCAGCGTCCTCAGCGTAGGACCAAGCAAGACTGCAAGCAGCTGAGAGCTGAGCTTCTGCCTTCAGCATTGATTGTAACAATATCCGCGTACACATGCAGTTCAAGTCAGCGGGGGGAGAGACGAGCAACAAGTTAACCGGCTAGCAAACTAATGCGGATACGGGGACACCGGGTTGTTGTGCAGTGTTCTCGTAAAGTTATAATTATTAATCCAGAAACACTAAAAGTCTTTAATATGTCAACACACAAGGGGCGAAGTTTTATTTACCACTTGCACCCCCACCCTTTTCGAGTTGGTACGTTCCAGTGCCCTCGGGCATTTACAATACTCGTGGTCATTTTTTTATTACTATGCAGCCCGTTTTATTGATGTTGAGTAGATAAATGAGTGTTGACGAGTCAAAATAAGCAAAGAACTCAAAACAACGCAACTAAAAGTTGCTACCGCGGAGCCATGCGTTTTGCCTAAAACAACGAGACATGTCGTCACGTAATAACGTGAACCCCGAGTAAATAAAGTTTATAATCGTTAATTAATGCCTTATTGCGCCCCAGTGTACCAGTGGTAGTCATTACTCAGTGCGAAAAGGTCTGAAATACTTGTTCGTCCACCTCTCGCCATGGAAAGTTTACCGTTACATGCTGAAGCAATTCAATCAATCCACAAAAATCCTATTAGGAGACCTTCAAACGTGTTTCCAGGGAGATGGAGTGGAAAAAACATAAATATTTGAAGTATCACACTTGAGAAGTTGAAATGAAAGCATGGTATTCGTGCTTGGTAGTGCAGCCAGCGGGTTATGGCACAGAGTCTAAAACCTTATAGGTTAACATTATGAATGGAATAAAAGTGTAGCTTGAGCCATGTGCCAACCCAAAGGCTGTGAAAGCGCTGATGAGGGCAAATCTGCTGCAGACTACAGCTGAGTTCAAACCAACAAGTTTCTTGTCTAATTTTCCTTCATGATTGGGTGGCTGGAAATAAAATATTTTTAAAGATGAAGGAATGAAATTAGTCGAGCTCTTTAAAAAAAAAAAAAGATAATTTGAGTTAATGTAACTGTCTACCTGTTTGTTTGTTTGTTTGTTTGTTTTTTTTGGGGGGGGGGGTTGCTTAGGAAAGGAATGTGTTTTTATTTGATTTTTTAATGCCCCCCCCCCCCCTTGATTTAAACAGGTGTTAAACTTTTCTGAGCTTCTTAACAACTTAAAAAAATAGACACAGAAAGATTAAATGTTGATAAAAGTAAAGGACAGCCTATTTAGCTGAAACTCAATGAAGCACATTTCTCTTCATGGGAAAATCTCTGTGAGAGCTTCAAATGTGGGCATAACATGCACATCCAGGCAGGATATCCAGAGCCTTGTAAATTTCCAGGCAGTAATTCTTGTAAAGCTTGCATGTGTTTACTCAACAGCATGCCTCAACATCGACAGCTCCCATTGGGCCACTGTCCCAGCCTGCAATTAGGATCCAGGGTTTGGCAGTTATTAATGATGCCATTGAGAAAGGAAATGGCAGACAAGCTTTCCTCCCACTGAAGCCGTGGCCTCTTGCTTATTCATTATGCTAGCACCTCTTAATCACAGTACCCAGGACCCCCAAGTGCCACTTGCTTCCAGTTTATCCAATTAGTTAGGGGCTTCTTTGCATGGTATGAAAGATGACTGTAATTAAGAACCTTGTTAGGCTGAACACTTGTTTTCTGAGTGTCAGGACTCATAACGGGGTCACTGCAAAGCAACTTTAAAGGTCAAAAGATGATTTATGGAATAAGGAAAAACACGGAGTACAAGCTACTGCAGAGATGACATAATGCATTTTGCCCATAAGCTTATGATCACTAATCAAATCAAACACTGACTTATCATCTGGATGCCTTTCTGCTACAATCAGCTTCGACGAAGCTAAATTTCCATTAAATATTTTCCACTGGATTAAATAATGTTGTAACAGATGGAAAGACTTTGGATGGACATGTCATATCAAACCAAATTAGTTAACCAACCGTTTCAATGAAAACCTCCTCTAATATACACCTAACTGTGTATACATTGTGTGCCAACTTCGTTAACTCATTTAAGCAGTTAAAAATTTCAGTTAACAGTTAACAATTCAGCACTTTTTAAAGTACAGACAAACATCAGTATTATTTGTATGTGCATTTCTGATCATAAACTTTTAAAATAAATATTTCTAAATGGGTGTTTAGTTAATATGCATTTAGTAATGAGGCTGATTGGAAAGGAAAGGAAGCAAGAAAAAAAAAGGTTTATTTTAAGAAAAAAAACATCCCACTCCGTTGATCAACTTTGTTTCATTACACAGTCAAAAAAAAAGAGTTTTAAAGTGCAAAGATGTGACGATTTCCTGTGGTGATATCCTGTCTGACGTAAATCAATGCACTCTTTTGAAGATGAGCGCTGCTACACTGTTGCCCGTCTTGCCTCCAAATTGGAAAGTGGGTGTAGACAACTCCTGCACAAACTCAAATCCTGTGAAGCAACACAAAGAAAATGTGCAAGTTATGAAATGTACATTGCAAAAAAAACTAGCAGATGGCCAGAATCTTTTATCATCTTCTGTGGTTTTGTTACTAAAAAAAGGAGCAGAACTGAGTGAAGATCCATTGACCATCTGTGATGCTTCCTGGGGGGCTAGTGAAGACAGGCTGTCACTGTGAAAGATGAGATCTCAGAAAGTAGTGCGCCCTCCTCAGCCAAAGTGGACATTGCTCAGCTATTAGGTGGAAATGACTTAGGACCAACTTAATTGATGACAGCCAATCACATTCAAAACATTAAAGAACACCCTCTTTTAATTGAGGAAAGCCACGTTGTGTTCTGCAGAGACTCCTTATTCAATCACAAGGCCCTCTGGCCCCCTGCAGGCTCTCCAGAGTGACTACAATGAGGGAACAGATGACAGCTTATCTTACTGAAATTTTGACTTAACAGGCTCTTTTTGCCTGGAGCTTAACAACCTGCCAGGTAGCGATTGTGGAACTGTCTGTCTGTCAAATGAGAATGAGACAACAACAAAAAAAAGAGACGACTCTAAATCATACTGCCGCACACCCAAATGATCAACATGTTTTGACAAATGCTTTAACCCATTTACAACTCAGCAAGTGTGCCTGTAGAGTCCCTGAGAACCCTAAAAAACAAACAAACATAAAAACCCCATAGAAAATA